CACAACTGTGTCTCAGCATGTCCAGAAGCTGCTGTTGTGTCAGCGCTGCTTTTTTCAGAAGCTGTTGGTGAGCACCGTGAGTTGTTATTAGAGCCGTGCCTGACTCCTCCTGGCGTTCCCCAGGAGTTAAATATTCCCTGCCAGGCTGCAGGAACCAAAGCCACTTGTCACCCAGGAGCTCTCACACGGTCACCTTCCTGGCAGGGCTTTGAATATTTTGCTTCATTTCCACCTCTTCCTTCTTCCAGTGTGACTGCTCACCTGTCTAGCAGGAGCAGGCACCACCACGTCCTGCTGCGTGTTCACAGACACAAACCTTGGGGTTTGAGGTACTTGCCAGTGCTGGCAGCCAAGACCAAACCCAAGCAGGTGCTAGAGGGAGCCACTGTGTGTGCCATACACAGCTCCAAGGCAACCTTGTGCCATGATCCAGACTATCACTCCTGTCTCTCTTCTTCCCAGGCAAGCAACTGAGGCACAGAGGAGCCAGAGCTTCCCGGCATGGAGCAGGTGCTCCCTCCAGATGCATTGCTCTGGAGCTGCCGTGGCTGATTGGATGCTGTGGGAGTGTAGCAGAGGCATGTGCCTGCTCCAGGTCAGCACAAAAGGCCTTGTGCTAGTGTCTTATCAGATGCTATTTATGTTCCCCAACTGCAGAGAGGTTTGGGGCAGGCCTTGGGTGTGCAGGGGTGGGGGGTTCACCCTCCTCACCTCCCGCTGTGTGGACCTTCTCCCTTTCTTGGGGATGTGGTAGCAGGTAAATCCAGTTGGACCAGAAAAACTATTGATAATAGGGGAGGGAGAACAAGATAAAGGAGCAGCCCATGGCTTTGTTGTGCAAAAAGCACCAGCTGACCTGCCAGTCAGCCCTCCAGGTGCTGGGGCAGGGCCCTGCAGGTGAACAGCTCCGGGGGGTGCAGCAGCCCCTGCTTCCCATGCCGAGGGGCTGTGGTAGTCTGGGCTCCTCTACCAGACTGAGCTTGGGTGCTGCAGGGCTTTCCCAGCTTGGGCTGACCGAGACCTTGGGATGGTAAATCCTGGAAAAACACTCTCTGAGTCCTGGGGACATCCCAACGCTCCCTCCACTCCTCCCACGGCAGCAGTGTCAGATGGGACCACACAGGTGGGTGGATAAGGGACTGGTGCCCACCCACACTCAGAGGTGGTGTCCCCTCTCCCCAACTGTGAGCTCTGGGGTTGGAGCCTGGCCTGTCCCCATGGCTGCATGGCTTTGGGAAGCCCTCAGGGACTGATTGCCCTGCTGCTGGCCCAGAGCTGGCAAGAAGGGGGAAGGCAGCAGTTTGCATTGTCACCCTAATTTCCCAAAGGTGTTTCCCAGCTCTGCACCCCTCCAGGGCATAGCTCAGAGCCTCACAGGTTGCCTCATGCCAGCAGAGAGTGGATGGCCTTTGAACTGTGTGTTTGGCTTATCTCGGCCCTGGTCAGCGGTCCAGGGCTGGCCAAGGGCTCTGCCATGCACAGACACTGTGATAAGAGCTGGGCTGGGCCCAGCAGCACCAAGAGGAGCCAACATGAGCCAACCTAAGCCAAGTCCTGCCACCACCAGGTCAGGACCTGGCACCTCAGCCCAGGGCTCATCCCCACAGGGGAGGAACAGGAGGGGACTAAAGGGTGTGTTTCCCCGATGGGCCACATCCTGCCACACTGGCACAAAGATCATAGAATCATGGAATCAATTAGGTTAGAAAAGACCTCTGAGATCATTGAGTTCAACCTGTGACCTGTCAATACCATGTCAACTAGTCTTTCCCAATACACCTCCAGGGACGGTGCCTCCACCACCTCCCTGGGCAGCCCATTCCAATGTTTAATCAGCCTTTATGTGAAGAAATTCCTCCTCATGTCCAACCTAAACCTCCCCTGGCACAGCTTGAGGTTATGTTCTCTCATCCTGTTGCTTCTTGCCTGGCAGCAGAGCCTGACCCCCACCTGGCTACAACCTCTTTTCAGGGAGTTGTAGTGAGTGATAAGGACACCCTTGAGCCTTCTCTTCTCCAGGCTAAACAACCCCAGCTCCCTCAGCTGCTCCTCACAAGACTTGTGCTCCAGCCCCTTCTCCAGCTTTGTTGCCCTTCTCTGAACAAGGGCATCCCAGCTCAGTTTGGCTGCACAGCTGCACCCCCAACCCCCTTCCCCACCCACAGCATGGGGTTGCTTGGAGCTGCAGGTGCCATGGGGTGATGCTGAGCACAGCCCTGAGCATCTCTGGTCCCACAGCTGAGCGCTGCCACCACCCTGCCCTCAACCCCACATCCAGGCATCCTCCCTGTGATCACTTCCCCCCTCGCCTCCTGACTTTGGTTGCAGTAGCACCAACAAATCCAAGCAGGGAGAGTGTCAGGGAGCATCCACAGTGTCTTCTCAGTGCTGAGTGTGACCCTGTGTGCTCCAGGCAGGGAGCCTGGCGAGGGGAGCTCTGGCTGAGGTGCTCCCGTTGCCCTCCCCGCCCCGCCAGGAAGGGGCCGTGCGTCAGCCTCCCGGGACATCTGCTGATGAATTTTTCATGATGTGATGGCCGTGCCTCCTCAGGCAGCCATATGGCCCCATGTTCTCCAGCAGGGCTGACACAGCAACCTGCTCCCGGCGTCCAGACTTCGAATTTTCAGGGATGTGTTTTATGAGCAGATTTTTGGCACCTTCTTAAGTGCACCTCTGACCCGCGCTGAACAAATTTGGATATGCAAATCCTCCGGGAGATTTTTGGAGATCTCTTCCTCCCAGCTGGACAGTTCATCATGGCAAAGACCACAAGACTTTTCTCCACCAAGCTGTGGCCGACAGCCAGCTGGTGCAAAATGTGTTTATTCTCCTCTCACACTCTCAAGCCATGTGGAGGGATTGGGTTCTGTTTCCAAGAAGTAATCACTGGAATAAAAAACCCAGGCTAAAAATGATACTTGCTGGTTTTCATTGTAATTTCTTTTATGTTCTTTTCCTAATCTTTATTTGGCAACTATCATCCTAAAAGGTTTTTTCACACTTATTTAACTTCTAAATTAAGCACCACTTAATTTTGGGGCATAGTCCAAAATGCATTGTGGCACAAAACAAGTAGAGCAGCTGAAGAACTGTGCATCTCATTTTCACCCCGCTGAAAATAAAACCAACAGTAGAAACCCATATATCATGGAAACAGAGCGATGGGAGCGATGTGAAGAAACCAGTTCCTGCAGCCCTTGAAGCTGCCACTCCACCAGCATTTACATGAATGGGCCATAAATGTTTCCGAATGGCAAATTCCTGACTTTCCGCAGGTCACTTCCTCTGGGCCATTGGTCATCCATCTCCAGCCAGGAATTGCTGTGTGCCCTGTGACTTATGAGAGCAGTTGGTAATAATTAGCTGGAGTTAATGAAGGGCCAGAGTCAAGAGCATGTGAGCCACGGCTCCAGCTCGCAGGGAGCGAATCCAGAGGGTGAGAGTGAGCAAGGCAGACCCTGAGCCACACCAGGTGAGGACAGATTCCAGGTGGGGGGACCTCTGAGCAGAATCCCAGACTCCTGACCCTGCTCTGCTGGCCCTGAGTCCTCTAGATGATGCCAGTACTCCCGAGGGCTGGGAGCAACCTTTAGTGATAGAGGCAAAAAGCACCCAGTCCTTCCACTGGTGCACCCCATGTCTCTGAGCTGCCCTTTGCTACCAGGGCATGTGTAAACCCCTCTTCCCACCCATCTTTTTGGAGTTTTAGCTCCAGCTGAGCTTCAGGCTCGATTTCATCCCTGTGTGTCCAAGTGGTGATGGTCTGTTCTGTCCTTCCAGCTTCCTGCCTGCTCTCTCCTTCCCCAAGACACCCTGTGCCCAGCCAACCTTCCTGCCATGGCTCCCCCAGTCCCTGCACGACAGCAGGGATGGATCCCTGCAAGTTGTCCTTAAAGCAGCCTGGCCACCATACCCTCGTGGTGTCCAGTGCCCACTCTCCCAGTGTCACCACTGCCAGCCGTGGGCACAGACCTGCTCCCTGCATTGCCACTGATGCACGCTGGGCACTTCAGTGATGTCAGCATGGTGCATTCCCACACAGCCAAAATTCCCAGAGGATCAGGGCTGGCAACGGGAAGACCTGCAATAATGGAAGCAAGTGAAGACTGAAACAAGCTCTTATTAAAATTATTCTTGTGTTTATTCTTCCTTTGAACAAGCAGCATCATTGGAAACGTGTCTGGGCAGGCAGGAATGGGAGTGGGGGGTGGTTGGATCTGGGGGGATAAAGGGGTGTTGGGGAAAATGCAGTCGTGAGTACACCAGCCTGGGGGTGTGCAGTGGGACTCGGGAGCAGGGATGGGGTTTTGGGGCTGAATAATGAAAACAGGTATTTGTGGAGAGGCTGGAGGTGTGTGACACCCTGGAGCAACATGTGGGTGCTCAGGGAGCCGAGGACACAATGGGACTCCCCATCCTGCTGTTCCCCGAGTCTGGTCACTTCCTAAAAACCCACCCCCCTCCCAAATCCCTACAGTTCAATGGAAAACGCTTGTTTTCCTGCTGAGTCCCTTCCCCCAGCTGCAACAAACATTTGGTATGCATATCCTTGAGTTCTCAGGGCTGGTTCTTTCAGAGTTTAACTAAAAAAACCATCGAAATATTCTTTCAAAAAAGAAACTGAAGCACATCCTTCCCGAAAACGCCAAAATAATTAATGCAAATTTCCTCATAATCCCTCCAAACACGTTTCGCCTTTCCCTCAGCCCAAACTCTTTGTCGAACTTGCCACAGAGCTCCGAACGGTTTTGTTTGCTGCAAACAGACAGTGTGGGTGAGCGATGCGTTCAGCCCGAACGGGGCCGGGGGCAGCACCCCAGAAGTGTCCCCCCTTCTCCCCTTCCCCCCCACATTTTCTCCCTCGTGGCGGATTAACCAGCGAGCGGCCGGGCGCGGGTGCGTCCCAGGGTGGGAGCCCGGCTTGACTTCAGAGCCTGGAGCTTCTGATAAACATAAAATAACCCGCGGACTCGCTCGGGGGTGGCACCGTGGGGTGTGGGTGCTGCCGCTTGGGAAGCAGCCGGCGGTGAACGCACGTGTTTTTAGTCGCACGGGAAAGTTACAGAAAGGAGAACCGTGTTTGGGAGCCGTGGGTGGGTGGCATGAAAAAGAGGCAAAAAAAAAAAAAAATCGCATTTCCCTGCCGGTCTGGGTGAATGTTTAATCCCCCAGCGCGGAGAAAAAGCAGCTCAAAAGTGCTTTTTTTCTCAGCAAGTCTGAACCAGTCAGCCTGGTGCCTCCTCCCTCCGGCTCACACCCTTCCTCCCACCGCTCCGGAGGAATATCCCAGCCTGCTCCGAGGTGCAGCTGAGCACCCAGGGCAGGACGGAGCCAGGACATAGCGGTGTCCGCGCCCACCGGGCTGGGAGAGGAGAGGGGCTGGGAAGTTTGTGTGCCCGGGGCGGCTCCCACGCTGCCGCTCGCCTGCGCGACTCCAGCGGTTGAAGTGCTCGGGATGGGGTCCCCACACTGGAAAAGGCTCTGCCTTTTGCTCCTGGCAGGTTTAACATCCTCTCTGCTCCTCTACACTCACTACTACACTACGGTGGAGTCGCCCACCAGCCAGAGGATCATAGCCAGGTACAGGGGGACGGGGAATGGGGGTGGGGGGTGGGAGGCAAGGATGTGTAAATCCAGCAAGAGGTGCCATGCACTGGGATGGGGAGGGGGAATTGGGATGCCAGTGTGGGCCCCTTAGGGCGGGTTCTTCCAGCTGTGCCCCCCGGTCGTTGGGTGGTTTGGAAAATGTGCTCGCGGCAGGCTCTGCCCCGCTCCGAGGAATTCTGAGCACCGGCTCCTGCCCACGGCCGCCAGCCGAGCCCAGGGGTGCCCAGAGCGGGACCCCGGGGCCGTGGGGGTCTCCAGGGGTCCCCACGTGGGAGCAGCCCATCACAGTGCAAAGAAACCATTGCTGGGCCCAGGGGGGGCTGAGGGTCCTGCACACCCCGGGCGGGATCAAACCCCCTTCAGCTGCCCACCAAACCCAGGTGCAGGGCTGGGAGCTGGACCCGGTGATCCCTGTGAGTCCCTCCCAATTCGGCATATTCTGTGGTTCTGTGGTTCTGTGATTCTGTGAAACCCGCTGCGAGCCCCGCGTGTCCCCGCTGGGCTCATGGAGGATCCGAGCTGATTGTCCTGGGGGAGGTTTGGCCCCTATGGAGCTGCACTGACCCACCCCCCCATTGCAGGGGCAGGGCACGGCTGCCCCCCAAACCTTTCGGATCCCCCGGGCTGCCCCCCTGGATCCCCGGACTGCGCCTCACGGCTCGCAAACTCTCAGGGTTGCAGCGTTTCCCAAACTCCAGCAATTTGCAATCCCTCTTCGTCTGCATTCCCTGCGTCCTCCAACCTCCTCGAGCCCCTTCCTGAGCCTCCGCGGTGGCAAGGGATGGAGTGCTGGGGTTCCCCAGGGAGCCCCGGGGAGCGTGGGTGAGTGGGCAGGGGGTGAGGGAGCCTGCACAGCGCTTGGGCTGCGGGACCAGGCGCCCTCTGCCCTGCAGCACCGGGTGATGTGCCAGGAGAGCGCTGTGGGTGTCCCTCACCCCCTCCTGGATGCTCTTGGGTGCCCTCGGTGTGACAGAGCCCAGCTGCCTGGGTGCTGCCGGGGAATGGGAGTTGCTGTGAGGACTGGAACTGGTCCTGCACAGGGTGAGCTGAGGGCAGACAGATTTGCTCTGGGAGTTGCTGGGGATGGAGCTGGATGGGCTGCCCTGGGGTCCAGATGCTGCTTCTTCCCCAGCTGGTAGCTGGGGGCTCTCTTTGCCCGATCCCATCAAAGCCCAAGGCAGAGATTCCCTCCCCTGCTGGGCTTGTGGAGCAGGAGTATCCCCAGCAGTTTGGGCAGAGGTTGGCTGTGTCCACCCTTGGCTGTGCAGTGTCAGCTGGAACCACACAGTGCTGGGGGCACATCACAGCCGGGGTGCAGAGCAGCTCCCCACAAAGAGCTTGATGTCCATGAGAGGGGAAACTGAGGCCCATGAGGGCAGCAGAACGTGCCCAGACACCACTCTGGAGCTAGGAATGGAAACCAGCTGTGCCTTGGCACAGGATCCATGGCTCAACCCCGAACCAGGGTGTGGAGGAAAGCCATGAGATGGAAGCCGGGAGTGGGTTCTCCCTGCCACATGTCAGACTACCACTTCCTAACCCTGCCTGGACCTGCCCCAGGTCACCTCCCCAGCAAAGCCAGCCTAGGCTCCAGCCCCGTGACTGATGGGACCAAGGGTGAGCTCATCCAGCCCCAGAGAGGAGCCCAGGGTGAGGTAACACAGAGCTGACCTGCCCTCCAAATCTCTCCTGGACTCTCCTCTGGGCTTCAATCCAATCTCTAAAGCTAAACCCAAATGAGTGGGTCCTGTTGGCTCCGATTCCCTGTGTTTATACCTATGACTGCTGCTCGTCCAGGCTGGACTGTGCACTGGAGGAATCAGCTCTGCCAACGGATGTGGGGCCGAGTCTGGAGGTGGAACCGGGATGGCCGGCGTTCCACAGGCTGAGGTGCCACCACAGAGCACTCACTTCCCGCTCTGCCTGCCAGCATGGGAGGGTCAGGGTGCTCACGTGTGGGTGCAGGTGACCACGTTTTGTGGGGAGGTTTGTGTGAGCAGTGCCTCCATGCAGATGGACAGGAGGACAAAGAGGGGTAGAGGGAAGCTGATCCCCTGATGGATGGTGGTTGCTGCCAGCACCAGATCACCCCAGGATCAGATACCCACAGCAGTGCCAAGTCCACTTCCAGCTCAGCACAGAGCTGGTGGCAGCTCTGAGGTCCTATGGAGATGGGTGAAATGCCCTCATCCTCCCAGAGCCTCCCTCCACAAGGATGAAGGGAGCTGAATCCCTGGAGCCCCCAGGATTTGTCTGGGCACAGCCCTATCCCACTCCGAATCCCTGCCTGTCCATCTCTCCCAAACCTCACTGGTGAGCTGCCAGCTCTGCCTGTGGCTTTATTGTTAGGGCTAACAGGAAGAGCACTGAGCTCTGCCCAGCTTTTCCGTGCTGCTCCAGCTTTACACCAGGGAAAGATGCTTCCTGGAGCTCAGCCCTTCCCAGCAGGATGGAGCAAATGCCTCCAAGAGCAGGTTCGTGTTGTTACTTCGGCTCCTTCAAATGTGGGGCCCTGGGAGTGTTTTCCGAAGATAAGGCCAGAGTGTGTGCTCACGACACTCGCACACAGTGTTATCTTCCGGAATTGAAGGATGGCCTTGGACCAAAAATGTCACATTTGTGAATAGCCAGATGGTGAGGGAGTGCACCCAGCCTGGCTGGCTCTGCTGGCACTGCCAGTGCTGGGGCAGCCAGAGCCACTCCTTCCCAGAGCCCCATTGTGCATCTGTTGGTCCTGGGGAGCGTTGTCATCTTCTGAGTCAACCAAGCATCACGAGGTGCTTCACCACATCCTGGCGGGTGACGTCAAAGCGCTTGGCTCCCCTTTATGCCACTGATCTGCTTTCTGGTGGGGGGCCAGCTGCCCCACACCCTTCCTGGAAGGGTTTGGGCAGTGGCTTTGCTGGGGAGCTGGCTCCAGCACCCACAGCTGGGATGTGAGTGCAGGGAGGTGCTGGCACTGGTTTATCAGTTCAGTGCAAGTCCTGCAAGAAATGAGGAGCAAGTGCCACCCACTGTTTCTGGCCATGGGTGGAGGTGGGTCCCAGCTTCCATGGAACATCACCATGAGCCAACCTGCCAGGCTGGCTGTGCCCACCTGGGTACACATGGGCTGAGCCCCTCAGAGCTCCACAGCATCCTTGGAACCTCAGAAAGTAGCACAGCACCCTCCCACTGCCAGTGTCCGGGGCTTTGCCTTGTCCTGCAGGCACTGGGGTGAGCCATGGAGGGGTCTGTCTGTACCAAGAAACAAGAGTAGGAGAGCTTGGAGGGCTGGGGAGGGTCTGGGTGGGCAGAGATGTGCAGCTGAGCCTTGTGAGCATGATAGGAAGGGATAGGGAGGTAGTGGGGTTGGGAGAGGCTGTTTGGCTGCAGCTCAAGCCTGGATGTGGTGAGTGAGGGTAATGAGACTTTGGGATTTGGTGGGGAGCTGCACTTCTGCAGCCAGGAAATGGGTGTGTGGTCAACCCAGGGGCTTTGCATGCAGGGAGTTCAGTGTAAACCTGTTGTGGGTTTGGAGCAGAGAGGTTTCTGTTGGTCTGTTGGTTGGGTGGTGGTAGTGTTGATAAGCTCCAGCTGGTGGGGTACCTGGGCTGGGGATTGCCTGCATCATGAGATGGAGGCAGCAAGCAGGGCTGGGGTGAGCTCCCTGGATCCCAGGGCAGTTTGCCCTGGCTGAGCTGACTCAGCATCCAGGGATCTCCTGGTAGCTCTTGTGAGGCACTTGTGTGAATGAGCTTTGCTGTGATGGGTGTGCTGTTGGTACCTGGAATGAAAGAGCAGCCTTCAGTGTAACCACCAGGTCTGGTACAGTTTGACCTTGACCTTGCTGTGCACAGACCCTGTGCTCCCCTTTGCAAGCCAAGGGAACAGGCAAGGTTGGTCAGGCTGGGGTTAGTTGGATCCTTGCAGGGATACCCCAGAAAGGCTCTGCAGAAAGCTGCAGCTCTGGCATCTCCCTGGGACGGCTCAGTCCCACCTTGATGGACCTCTCTTGGGGATTTCCCTTCCCTCCTCTCTGTCAGCTCAGGTGATCCCAGGATGAGCCTCAGGGATGAGCTGGTTGTCTGCAAGGAGAGGTGGGGATCACACTGTGCTGACCCCTGGACTGTAGCGTTGTGTTTGGAGTGATGGGGGCTTTACAGGGCTCTGCTCCTGCTGGGGACCTGCTTTTCCATTGGACACCAAGGCAAGATACCCTGGCTTGGTCTAAAAAGCTGCCCTGCCCTGCTGGCAGGGCTCAGCCTCCTGCACAGGGAGACACCTTCCCCGTCAACATCCCCTCTCTGGAGCTGGCCATGCTGGGATGGTGCAAGGAAGGAGCCTGGACTAAATTCTGCTGGGCACTGCCTCCCCATCCACACCTGGGGAGATGCTCCAGCCCCCAGTGCCAGACCCTCCTGTCATGCTGTACCCCCAGGGTGGCTCAGAGCAGGGTTTGGGTGGCAGACAGGTCTGGATTCACTCCTGGGCAGGGCTGTGGGCACTGTTGGTGTTGACAGGGGCCGTGGCAGGGACGGAAACCCAATGCCTGCCCTGCCCGGCAGCGTCGCGCCGGCGGGGGCCGGGGGGGAGGCAGAGCTCCGCTCCCCACCTGCCTCTACCTGTCCCCAGGCTCCCAGGCAGAGATCCCGTAACAAGGGGCCCTTGTCTCCTCCACAATACCTCCCTTCTGGGCTGAGCACCTGCTGGCTGGGCTGGCGGCAGCGCCGGGGGGCTCTGAAGAGCCTTTCTGTGCGGGGATGAATGGGAGCCTGTTCCCCTCCGGTGGGCTCCCACCTCCTGCTTGCCAGGCTGCCCCCAGCCCCAGTTCCCCCTGGGGGGCTGGGTCAGCTCTTCCTGGCCCCTTAGGGCTCAGGGTATCCCAGATTGCTTGGGGTGGGCTGCCCTTGCCTTTGTCTCCCAGTGCTAAATGAAGGATCAGGGCGTGCTCCAGCTGCCCCCATGGCAGATGAGGTCCCATATACCCCAAGAGCCTGCAGACCCTGGTTGCTGATTGCGTCTCCAAGTGTAACAACTAAGTGTCCTGCTGGCCTGTCCAGCTTTCCCCAGCCTTGTCTAATTTGGACTCGGGAATGGTGAGACGGTGGGAAGAGAGAGGGTGGTCTCAGCAGGATTCCCCCAAGGCTGCAGGCTGGGCTGGGTGTGATTTTTGGTGTGTGTGGCTCCTGGAGGAGGACCCACGAGGAGACAGCAGCTGCTTTTTGCAAAAACTCTGTATTTTGCATGTCCATGGTTCTCCCCTTGCAGAGGGATGCGCAGACAGGGACGGGTGGGCGCAGGCAGTGGTGGAGGGGAGACAAGTGGAGGGGACATGGTCCTGCCCTATGGCTGTCACAGGTGTGGGGGTGTTGGGGTGCTCAGTGTCACCTCCTCAGCTGAGCCCTCACTGTCTCATCCCAGCCTGCTGCAGCCGGAGCCGCTGGTCCTGGCCCCGTCGGGGACCCCACACCGCAGATGGGCCCTTGGAGGCAGCTCGGAGAGGTAAGGAGGGAAAGGTGTCCAGCAATCCTGGCGTAGGCTGGGAGCCCCATGCCCACTGTGGGGTGCCCCAGTGCCCAAGTGGTGGATTTTTAACTCTGCCATATATTTCCTCCACTCCAGTGGGAATTCCTTCAAGCCTTCTGCAGAGCTGGAGGAGCCCAAGCCCAGCAGGCAGCAGGTAATCATTAGCACTGCACAGTCATGTCCATGGTGCCCCTCTGTGCTGGCTTTTGGTGGTTGAAGGGCTGTGTGGGGAAGCTGAAGGAGGAGCAGCATCCTCTGGAAGGGGTCTGCAGGGGAACAACCTTTTCCATCCACACAAATGGGTCTCCCCAGGCCTCCCTGCTGCCATTCCGTAATGTGAAAGTTGGAGCCAGCATCACCCACTCCCTCCAACCCTGTGACTCCTGGTCCACCAGACCAGGTTGGACTCATGAGGATGGACCCAGGCTCTGGGGGGGGACCATTCTTGGGCACTGGGACTGTTCTCATACAGCAGAGCCCTTCAATGGGGTGCCCACACCTGAAGGTGCTGAATCTTTCACACTCTGAGCTGACCCTGTAACCTCTGCTGCCCTCAGCCCCACTGAGCTGGGTGCCACAGGGTGTTTCACAGCAGCAAACCAAGGCACGGGGCAGTGCCCTGCCTGGGTGACCCAGCAGAACATGTGATGGACAAGGAGCGTTTCTGTCCCTGGGTTTGTCCTCTCCTTGGTGCCTGCTGAGGGGTGGAGGTGTTGCAGGGAAGGCAGGAGGCTGAGCTGGGGTCCTCCTCTCTCCCAGCCCAGCACCTGCCTGCACTCAGTGATGGCCAGAGCCAAGGCAGACCCCAAGTTTGGGGAGATCTTCCGCTTCGACACCCCTGTGCTGATGTGGGACCAGCACTTCACCCTGGCGACCTGGAACAGGCTGAGGACACGACATGTCCCCTATGGCTGGCAAGGCTTGTCCCTTGCAGGTACAGACCCAGCTGGGATGGGGGCCACAGCTGATGGGGTGATTTGGGGATGTGGGGCAGCTCGAGGGGCTCGGGAACCCAGCAGAAGGGACTGGTGACATGAGACAGGCAGAGAAGGCAGCAGAGGAGCCAGGGACCTTGATCTCTCCCCACTCCACCTCCTGGGGCACGAGGTGGAGGGCACGGCTTTGCAAAGGCCTCTTGCTGCATCTTGTGACATTTTCCCCGAATAAAAGCTCCAGTGTGTGCATGATTATTAACTGGGGCCGGAGGAGCTTGGACAACCCGCTCCATTGTTGTGGATGGAGATTGTTTCCCTTCCCACCCCAAACCCACACTCTGCTCTCCCTGTCAGCCGCCGGCTTCAATCCCTGGGCTGGGAAGTGCTGGGGACAGCAGGGGGAGTGAACTGGTGGCTGTTGCAAAGAGATATTGTGAGGAGGGGATATGGCCAGCCCAGGCAGCAGCATCAGCAAGGCTGGGGCTGGAGATGTCTGGATGTGACCCTGTGCCTTGCACAGCCTTGAGTGCTGCTGTTTGGAGCAGGGTTAGAACCATGGGGGGGAGCTGAGAGTGGGTGACACAAAGCCTGGGAGAGCAGGGACTGCCTGGTGTCCCCATATCCCACCTTTAGGCCCCTCTCCTGCACAGGGATGGCGTGAGTTTAGTGTGCTGCTCCTGGATGTGCTCCGTGCTGTCGCACACTTTAACACACACGTGCTCACGTGGGCTGACACACCTTTTCCTCACTGACCTCTCCCATCCTGCTCCATTCCAGTGGTGGGCAGCACCCTCCGGCTCCTCAACGCCTCCGCCAACAGGCACCTCTTCGACAGGGCCGCCCTCCCCGGGGGCTGTGTCCGCTGTGCCGTGGTGGGAAACGGTGGAATCCTCAACGGCTCGCGGCAGGGCCAGGCCATCGACGCACACGACCTGGTCTTCAGGTGCACGCGGGTCCCGGGCGGGACTGGGGCTGTGGGTGCTGGGGAAGGTCCAGCCCTGGACACGTGTCCTGCGCTTTTCCCGCAGGATCAACGGTGCCGTGATCAAAGGCTTCGAGGAGGACGTGGGCACCAAGGTCTCCTTCTACGGCTTCACGGTGAACACCATGAAGAACTCCCTCATCGCCTACGAGGAGTACGGCTTCACCCGGATCCCCCAGGCCAAGGTGACACCCTGAGGGCTTGTTGGGCATGTGGTCAATTCTCCCTTGAGGCTGGGCTTGCCCCTCAAACCTTCTCCCCATCTCGGGAGCCCTCAGTCCTTGCCAGCCTCCATAGGCACTGCCCTGTTAAGCCCCTCCAAGTGTCACATTTGTGCCCCCACTGCAGGACCTGAAGTACATCTTCATCCCCTCGGATATCCGGGACTACGTCATGCTGAGATCGGCCATCCAGGGCAGCCCAGTGCCCGAGGGCTCGGACAAGGGGGATGAGTGAGTAGCCCCCCAGCACCCTCAGTGATGCAGGCATGACTTGTCTGCTCTCACCCCAACATCTGTCCCTGCTTCTCCTTGCCCTGCTGCAGGCCACAGAAGTATTTTGGACCGGAGGCATCTGCAGAGAAGTTCAAGTTGCTGCATCCTGATTTCTTGCAGTACCTGACAGCAAGGTGAGGATGATGAGGATGGCGGCTGCTGTTCAGCTCTGCCCCAGGCTGAACTCAGACTGCCTGCCTCTGCTCTCTCCAGTATGGACCAGTGGCTGCTCAGCATCAGTGTGTTCCCAGTCCTCCCCAGACAATGGAACCACCTCTGCCCTCCTGTTTGCAGACAAGGCTGAGGCACCTCTCCCCTGCTGCTCCTGCTCACTGCAGCACAGCTCACATCCCCTCCTACAGCTCTCTGTGCTCACCTTGCTCCCATTCCCCAAAATAAATTACATTTTGTCCCAGTCTAACAGGAGCGGAGATAGGGTCAATGGAAGTGTCTTTTCCTGCCTCTCACGAAAGCAGGCATCTGCGTTGGGGTGATTCCAAACAGCAGAGAGGTGCCTTTTACCAACCTGCAGCAAATGAGCTCAGCCTTAGTAGCAGTCACCAGAGAATCCACCCCAGTCCTGTGTTTCACTCGGTGCTCCTGCCTTACCAGGGCCTGGCATCACCCAGTGCATGGTGGGGGCTGGATGAGTGCAGGTCTGGGGGCTGTGGTGCCGTGCCAGCCGTGACCCCCCGTCCCTGCCGTGTCCACTGCCAGGTTCCTGCGATCAGAGATCCTGAACACCCAGTACAGCTCCCTCTACATGCCCAGCACAGGTGCCCTCATGCTCCTCACGGCACTCCACACCTGCGACCAGGTAAGAGGCCACGGGATCACCTTCCTGCTGGAGACAAGGGGATTTCCCCCACTTTGGCTGCTGTGGGGCTCCTGGTGGGACCAGCCTGTCCTGGTGGCTGTCCTACATGCCCCCTGGAAGGGGGGCGGTGGTAAATGGACCACCTGAAGTAGAGCCCTGACCCCATCCTTTGTCTGTCCCTCCCCACAGGTCAGTGCCTACGGGTTCATCACTGCCAACTATGAGCAGTTCTCAGACCACTATTATGAGGTGGAGAAGAAACCTCTGGTGTTTTATGCCAACCATGACATGATGCTGGAGGCAGCGCTGTGGAGGAGCCTCCACCGGGCCGGGATCATCACCCTCTACCAGCGGTGAGGCCAGGAGGTTGCCCACAGGGGCAAGTCTGAGGACTCCTATGGCTCTTCTGTTTCCCAAGGGCTCTCCTCAGCTGGTCGGCCAGCCCGTGGAGCAGACCTGCCACACTGCAGCTGGCAGTGGTGTGAGGGTAAGGGGGAAGCTGAAGCTGGTAGAGAAATGTTGCCTTTCCTCAGGGATCTCCTGAAATGTTTCAAGGCTCAGTGTGATTGAACGTGGCCTTTGGGGCATCAAGAAGCACCACAGCACGTGGCTGTGACCTGCCAGCCCCATGAACATGGCTGTGGGGCAGCAGTGGCCCCTGTGGAGCCCAGGAGGGGCAGGATGGTGCTGGAAGAGGATGCTGGAGTTGCTGGAAAACACCTCGCCATCATGTTCCAGCTCAAATGCTCATCACCGTGGTGGCACAACAGGCAGGATGCATCTGTGGACTAGAGACCAGATCGTCCAGCTGATGAGAAGGTGGTGTGTTTGGAGAGCACCTCTCCTAGACTGCAGAAAGCCCCAGCTGCAGCCAGCTCTGTCGGTGTGTGCCACCTTCCAGAAGGATCTGTTTGTCTCTGTGATCAGCAGCACAGACAGGGGTGTGGCTGCCCTCTCCTGTGACAGACACACAGCGTGCCCCATCACTGACCCCTTCTCTAGGTCTGGTGTTTTCAGACAAGGAAGGGTTTTAAAAGCCATCAGCTAAGAGTAGGGTCACAGCAGCTCAGCTCAGCTGGGACACCAGGAATGTGTCCGGCCCCTGAGCAGCCTGGAGGTGACACTGGACTGAAGCCACACGTGTGGCACTGAGTTTGTTGGGCCTTTCTTGCACAGGGACCCAGGGCTGTGGTGCCCTCTGAGTGCTTTGAGAGGCAGTCCCATGCCAGGTGAGCCACAAGTGATTATCGCTGTTTTTAATTTTCTCCCTAAAGCCCCCAGGGAGGTGAAGGTCCTGAACCAGCTCTGCTCAGGGAGACCCACTGGGGACACTCCTCCAGCTGCAGGGTGGATACAGAGCAGTGTAAGCCAAGACACTTCTCCACTTTGTGTAATTACATAAATGTTGAATGGTTTTCTTTAATGCCTATTTCTGTTGTTTTGATGAAGTGGGTGGGGGTGAGACCCCCCCCTCCCTCCCTCCTGCAGCAGAGCAGTAGCAGGTAGTAGAGTGAACCCTTGACTGGGGAACAGCTCCAGAAGCTGATGGGGATGGGGGCAGGTTTAATCATGAAGATCTGGGCTGGCAGGGAGGCTCTGGTAGCTCAGAGCATGGCCCTTTTCCACTTGGAATGCTATTTGTTGTATGAGGTTGCTGTATAGAGATGGCAAAAGATACCCTGGCCATGAGCCAGGAAACCTCCAAAACCCCTCAAGCTCCCAAGCAGGCTGTTTCCAGCTGGTTCAGCTACAGAAGGTTAGGCTCCAAGCCTGCTTCAGATGTAATCTCTAGCTTGGGGCCCACCTTGTGTTCCCACGTCTCAAATTAACCTTTGTTCCCATCAGAGCCACCTCACACTGGTACCACAGCAGCCTGTTAGGCCTGTTTTGTGTTCACAAGCACTCAGCAAAAACCTCTTTCATGACAAGAATGAGCCTGATCCTCACATCACCTGCCCAAGACGCTCCAAAACCTCCTCAAACCAGCTCTGGCCAAACCTCAGGTGACATCAGCAGCACCTTGAGACACAGGGCAGGAAGAGCAGGGTTTAGAGGGAAGTGCTGTCCCAGGGCAGCATCCTGCCTGGAATCAGCCAGCTCATGGGCAGAGCTGATTGTGCACATCAGAACCACACCATGCATCTTCCTCTCCCTTCTCAAAAAAGGGAGGTTTCCCAGCCCAGGGTGGAACCTAACACTGGAGTTTTAAGGACTTACCATCAGATGAACCTAATGACTCCACTACTGCCTCTCACACCGTTATCTCTGAGCTCCCAAGCAGACCACAAGAACCGTTTCTGTTACCAGACCTGGCTTGGCCATAAGGAGTTTTGTCCCCAGGAATTGCTTTTCTTCAACTTTCAGCATGTGCACACAACTGAAGTCTTTGGGTATCAGGTTTGCTAGGAAGGGTAAGCTCACAACTGCTTGAATTTCAGGAAGTGTTTCAATCTAAAATCCTTCCTACCTGCACAAAACCATTTCTGTCCAAGTAGAATCATAGAATCGCTAAGGTTGGAAAAGACCTCTAAGAGCATTGGGTCCAACCTTTACAAAAATAACTAAACAAAAAACAACTTCCACTCACAAGATTTCCCATAATTTATTTTATTCTGGAACAGAAGAAACCAGGGAATCGCTTTTTCGTCCAGCCAACTGTAGGTCAGATCCTAGTGGAAAAAAAAAAAAAAGACAGTGTCAGAGCAAAGCAACTGTCAGCTGTGAAGTTCCTGATTTGCACTATTTAATCTAGAGTACACATCTCAGGAGAGAACAACTTGCTCCCACCCAAGCCAGTGGCACCAGCACCCAAATCCTCTTTGGCTTTAGTGGTAACTTACCTATGGTGTGGTTGCAGCAACCCCTGAGCAGCGAGGAGGAGCCTGTGGTTACACAAGTCACTTATCAGTGGCCATCTGTGACACTCAGTCCAAAACAATCTTTATTCTGTTGCTTCTAGAGCTGGAAGACACCACAAAGCAAGGCTGTAACTGTTTCCTTAAAGAAGTCTGCTCTGAAACAATTCCTGCCCCTCTAATCTCAAAGCACTGAGTAGCTTTTACTTTTCCCATTTATCATCAGGCTGCCTCTTCACCTTTTCTCCCCTTACTCCTTGGAAACCAAAAGCCCCAGTGGCTGATCCTGCTTGGAACACAGCTGTATTGCCAGAGCACCCAATGTGACTGGTGGTTTGTGGGGCCATTCCTTCCCTCCCCTTTCACACATCAACCTTGATTTCTTAAGACATTCCCTGTCATCAACTTTGCTGGCTCAGCCCGTCGGAAATTGTTATTGACCTTCTGCAGCAAAGGAATTCTGTTAAATAAAGCGTAAAACCATTTAGCAGAATGCAGCTGTCAGCTGCCTGGAGACAAAGTGCTGTTACAGCCTGTGTATTCAATGACTGTACATCAAGCAAAGATAAAAACCGCATTTATTATTTGCCCTTCAACCTGTCACTGTTTGCTTAAAAGGAACTTAAAAGCTCTTTGTAGCTCTAAACTGTGCTATGACAACAGCAGCTCATGCTCAGCTCCAGAGCCAGGCCTGGGCTGCAGGGAGCTGGGTCTGGGACAGCACTTGTGCTGGTGCCACCTGTCACAGGGTGGGAGGACAGGGCACAGTGCCCCACCAGTGCCACTCGTGTCCGTGGAGTCTTTGCAAGGAGACCCCACCAAGGGAAGCACAAGAGCCTCAGCGGAGTTTTTTCCTCACAGAGGGGTCAGACAGGGATAACAGCACATCACAGGCTCAGTTTCTCTCCTGCCCTTGGCTACACAACCCCCTTTAAGGCCCACAGAGCCACGCACAGCACAGACACCCAGGTGCCACCGTGCTGATGGCCAGTGCTCCTCCTGGTACTGCTCCTGGTAAAGCCTCCAAAGATCAGGTACTCTGATCAGCACATGAGTCATGCTGCCTACACATCTGGCATATAATTAATGAATTTAAAACAAGCAACACACAGTACTGAAGAATTCTCTTACCAGCTTAAGCCCAGCTTAGCAGCTGCCCTCTTGCCAAAGCTGTGTTTGGGCAACAGCAGCCCCAGGACTCTGCAGGACGGTTTCCTCCTAAATACAAGTTACAATGAGAACTGTCAACAAAAGTACTTTAAATAAAGTTTGTCCTCCACTCATTTCCTTTTCACCCCTTCCGAAAAAAACCCCAGCCCTGGGTCACTGAGCGAGAATCAGAGACAGAAACTCTCCATTCAGAGACAGCAATTTTTGTCTTACAGACTCAGCACAGCAGAATCCTGTCCCCCAGACACAGAGGAGCATGACTGCCAGTGGGCTGTCTCACTCGCAGACAAGAAACTTTGGGAGGTGGATGTTATTTAAATCCCTGCTTAGGAAAAGAAAACCACCAGCTCTCAGACATTGGTAGTTTGGACCCTTTTAAGCTGTTTCAAACTGACATCCTCCTCCTCCACAAACATCTTAATCCAACTCCCTCCTTGCACACAAGGATAATCCATCCATCCAGCGTGTAATTTGTCTGTGAGTTTACCCTGAGAAATGCATTCATCAGACCTAAGACAGACACATCCCCTCAGGGGAAGGATTCTTCAGGTTGTGTCCTTTCTAGGATGACCCTTTGGGGCACCTCCCCACCCCCAGCAACCTGATGCAAGTCTGAAACTCTCCCAGGGCACCTCCAGGAAGGCAAACAGAGCAATTATTCTTTCACTACTGTCTATTTCTGTGACAGACACAGTTATGAGATGAGCTGTGTCAAGTGTCTCCATAATGGGCTGACATCCAATCCCTCCTACCTCTAATCCCTTCTGCTCTGGCTCATCTTTGATCACGCTGACAAGTAGGTGCTCTGCTGGGCACCAACACCAGTTAAAATTCCCATTCATTCCGTGCTGCCTTTCAGCTTATGCTCCATGGCAGCAAAGGGCAGCACACTCGAGTGGCAGCTGCAACAAAGCTACAGCCTTGACTGGCTTAATTACATTAATCAAGCCACGGGGCTTTGATATCCCCTCCCAGGAGCCCCAGACACACAAGGATATCATCTGACACTGAAAAATGAGTCTTATTTCTGTAGTCCAGCAAAAGGAGTAGAAAATTAAGACTATGGCAAGAGAAATGCTGATGTTTCTCACCATTGTGCAGCTGTACTGTTAGTCCAGTAGATAAATCAGGTCCCCAGCCAGAGGAGTGTTTTAATCCTTTCCTGACATCGTGCCAGGCTCTGAAAGGGAGGAACAGGACAGAGTTAGTTCATGTAGCAAACCATTCCTTTACCTTTGCGTCTCTAACGCCGAGCCTCAGAGTGATACTTCCACAGAGGAAAAGATCAGTTTCAGACAGGGATAACCTTTATCATCACCAGCTCAGCTCCCAGAACAGACAAACCTCGGGGCCTCAAAACCTCGGGCCTGTTCTTGCCCTCGTGGCTCCTCAGCCGAGGCAGCACCGACACCCGCGGGCACGCGTGGCTGCCCTGACCCACCGCTCCGGGGAGACACCCCCGGCGGCAGCGCTCAGGCTGAGCTACACCCGCTGGCTATAAAATACTCTCCCACAGGCGCTGCGGGGAAGAGCCGGCACAAGTGGAGCCAAACCCCGCGAGCTGAGGACCCCGCAGCGCGCCCGGCCTCGCTCCCTCCATCCACCACGCCGGGGGGGGGGGCATTATTACGCGTCCCCCCGCGCAGCCATCGAGCCCTCGCAGCAGCCCTACAAGCGGTCCCGGCGGTGCACGGGAGTCCCCTGCACACCCTCCCGCCGTCCCCGCGCCCTTCGGGGCCGCTGTGCCCGCGGATGGCGCCGGATGGCGGCCGGTCCCGCTCACCGCACGCAGCTGCGCCGCCATGCTGTTCCCGTGCACCGCGGGGAGGGCGGGGCCGCGCGCGGGGGCTCATGGGAGGTGTAGTCCAGCCGCCGTCTCGGGGCGCGAGGGCTGATGGGAAATGTAGTCCCGCTCCCCCGGGATCAATCGACCCCCCCCATCCCGCTCGTTAACGGCATTTATTAATTATTTATTAATTCTTCACGTCCCCGGCACGCTAAGGAGATGTGCGTGATTGTGCTTAGCGCTCTAAATGCTTCAAAAGGCTCAATAAGCATTAGCTCGTGGAGGAAGGGGCTAATTAGCCAGAGATCGGGGATTAGTCAGAGATTAGTTAGTAAATGTATGTGCCGTGCTTTGAATAAGCGACGCTTCCAGGATGTGCTGTGATTGTCCTTCTCTGTGAAAACCTGTCACGAAACCCACAGGATCCTGTCTGACTTACATATGAAACTATAAATGAAATTATAACTTCCATGTGAAACTCTATACGATCCTATTTACATTACATATGAAGCCTGTATTAACAATAACACAGTGTGAACATAACCAAAGGGAGGAAAAATAAGAACTGCCAATATCACTTTCTTGCCACAGAGGTACATCCACCCTTGTGGAGAAAAGCTCCAGTGATTGGGAATGGAAAGCAGTCAAACTACAGTCTGAAAGCAGCAAAATCTGAGTACAGGTGACAAGCCCAGAGTCACCTCTGAAATGTCTGAGAGCTGAGGGGCTGTCTCTCTGCTCCTGGATCCCCTCTGACAACAGGGAGATCACAGAATCAGAGAATGGTTTGGGTTAGAAGGGACCTCAAAGATCCATCGCCCCTGCCACGGGTAGGGACACCTTCCACTAGCCCAGGTTGCTCCAATCCCCATCCAACCTGGCCTTGGACACTTCCAGGGTTGGGGCAGCCACAGCTTCTCTGGGCAACCTGTGGCAGGACCTCCCCACCCGCACAGAGATGGTTCCATGCTGCTGCCTGCTCTGGGAGCCCCTTCTCCAGGCAAGGCAGTCGAGTTCCCAGGAAAAGACAGCGTGACTTCATGTTTATTTTTAGTGCCTGGATCCTCCTGGCCTTGCTCCTATTTTAGAACCTGATTTTTTTTTTTTTTTAATTTATTCCAGAGCACAGATTTAACCCAACTCACAAGTCCTTTACTCTCCAGAATGGCCCATGTTGTTTCTTAAATCTCTCTTAAAAAGCCAACGGGCTGCAAAAGGAACTCTTTTTTTTAAGTGGTCCAAGAAGGCTGTAAACAGATACCAAGGTGGTGCTAAAAATAAGTTGCTTCCAAATTAAGCAGCTGACTGTGAGGTGTTCCCCAGCCCTCTGTGCTCTCTGATAGCTGCAGAAAGCCTCAAAAGCTGCCCTGGTCGGATGGGCAGGACCTGGGGGAAGCAGCTTTCGGTGAGTCCTATGCTCTGGCTTGAGGACAAAAGAGATTCTGTGTCTTCCTGCCCCACAGGAGCCTGTGGCACGAGTGTTTGGCCTGGTAGGAAGGCAGATGATGATACAGAACAGCAATAATTAACTCAGCCCTTGTTGCAGCGGCCTTTGCTCTGTGAAGACGGGGTTGGCAATCTGCCTGGCTGCTTTTAGCTTCCCAAATAAGCAAATATGACCCATCACAACTAGAATTAGCCATTTAAGTCCCCAAGGGACGTAAGTTTTTAAAAACAAAACAACTAAAATCCCCCCTTGTGCAGAGTTCAGATCCCGGGAGAGAAGACGTAGACTTGGATGCGCTGAGGGATTTGCCACCGTCTTGATTTTCGGGTGAAAGCTGCTCAGCCCACAGTCTGTGTGTGCCTATAAATGGATAAGCTCTGCCAGGTACCAAGTAACTAATGGACTCAACAATTAAAAGCTCAGGAGAACGGCATGAGCTAAGTGTGGAGTTGATTGGCTGCAATTATTCATGGCTGTAGTGCACGGATAATGTTTCCAAGGATATCTTGGAGTCGGAACAAAGACTCTGGATGAAGAGAGACGGTCACTGCCTTGCCCATGCCAACGCTCTTCTAATTCTCTGCAGCTTCGCCTGTGTGGGAATTAATCACGTTTTCTCAGCTTTTCCCTTTAGAGGGCGATCATGTCCCACAGATCTCCGGCATGGAACCTTCACCAGCAGGAGCTGCAGGACAAGGCAGAGCCTCCCCGAGGTCAGCGGGCTATGGTGGTTCTTCTGAGGGTCTGTGAACCTTCCTAGAGATGTGAAGGAAGTTAGTCTGGTCTGGAGAGTTCTGTTTGAACATATTCTCCTTCCTCAGGCAGCTGCAATGCTGCTCCCAAGGGCAATTTGGACATAATTTAGATAGATTTCCTGTGGCCAATCTCCATCAGTTATGGTATTTTGTTATTCCAGTCTTTGAAAGGTTGAGCAAGCAAGGAAAGCTGTGAAAAGGGCATGGAGATCTACATGTGAGCTTTTGGAGGCTGCTCTCAACTTCCCCACAGAGGATGAGGGGAGCATTGCTTCCTCCAGTAAATCATATGAGACATTAAGCCCCATCTTTCTGATTTCTCAAGGTGCTTCCGTATCTCTCCTTCAAAGCTGCAGCATTACCCTCTCTAAAGAAGTCTGGGCTTTGCTCTGAGGTGTTTGGTTACCCCTAGAGCAGATAATAGGAGAATGGGTAGAATATGTGATAGGGGAAGGAAGGATGGAAAGAAAAATGGAAATTAATGACAGAACTGCTCCAACTTCAGCTGGGCTTTGATCCCATGCTTGAATTGAAGGACAAGATCTTCTTTCAGTTTTCCACTCATTTCCCATCTTAGTTGCCTGTAAATCCCTCAAGGGAGAAACTCTTCATGCTTACTGACACCAGTTTGATTTCCTCTTGATTTCCCCCTCTGCCCGTCCAGGTCCCACCCATCTGTGCTTTCAGGGTGCCCTGCTGTGGTTATCTTTGACACATGGCTGGGGGGAAGCAGACAGGGTACTTGAACCCAATACAAAGCCAGTTCCCCCATTACCAACTGCATCTGGCTGGTGCAGGGGGTAGCTCCATTGATGTTTGTCTCTGTTAGAAATGGTGGGTGCACAGCAGTGCACAAAGAACAGTCCCTTGGGCTAAGGTGGAGACTCCTTGCTGGTATTTCAGGTACCAGACTTCCGAGAGAAAAGATCTGCACTGTTAAGAAAAGCCTGCCACGAGATCTCAGATCCTGGTGTCTGCTGCTTCAAATTAGTCCCAAGAAATGGCAGACAGGCTCTTTGGAGCCTCAGCAGCAAAGCAACATCTTCCCACACAGGACAAGGCACACTGCAAACAAAACATCCTTCCCTGCTCCTGGCAGCAAAGCTCTTAAGCCTTCATTTAATGTTAAATACACGTTTAAACCTAAACCCATTCCTCCTCAGCATGTCTTGCATGCTTATGTAGAAATTTAGCAGACTCAGGAATGCTCTGCTGTAACTGGGGCCTATCTGAAAGCCTGTGCACTGAATAATAAAGAGCTTTTTCCTTACAGAATATCTGTGCAACGAAGGGATGGCTTTTCTGGGAGCACGGTAGGATCTACAGGCAGGGCTAAGACATGGATTCTGCAGGTAGAGAAAAGAAAAGATTGCCCTTTCTCCCAATAATGCAAAAGAAATGGCAGCTTCAGCCACTCAACTCTTGCTCCTGCTTCTGCCCCTTCTTCTCAACTGAATTTTGGGTACAGTACAACAAAAAGCAGTCTCAGGGTACTGTCTTCAACTGCAACACAGAAAGCAGCTTGAGGAGACCATGTTGGGAATGGAGTCAAGCTGATCAATGACTTGACACCTTCAGGTCTGTGTCCCAGCTGGGCAAAGTGACCGTCTTTGTGTGAGTGAGCCAGAATGCATTCCCAGCTCCATTCCTTGAAGGAGCCCATCGGAACAGAGAGCCCACCACAAAATGTTCCAGTGGCAGGGAGTGCACAGATAAATCCTGGGGCCAGACAGATGCACTGGTGCAACAGTAGCAGTAGGAATCCAGTTTCTCCATGGACAAGCATGTTTAATTAAAATATATACCCTCAGAGCATACCTGGAGATAGAAGATGTGTACAGCTACAAAAATGCCCTCAAAACCAGAAAGAAAACCTTAACACTGTAAAGCTAGTGAGATAGGAGAAAGATTTCCTTTTAGGCCAAGTTAGATGAGCAAGGAAAGGAGAGTTGTCCTTGCTTTGGGCAAAGATATGGATCCTCTCTATTTTCTGTGTCAGCCTGAGAGATTACAGCACGGTAAGCAGAAAGGGAGTGAGTTGGTATAAAAATATCTGGGCAATATTAATGAGAAACTTCTCAGGTCCTCTTTTATCACAAACAGTGTTTTCTGTTTGCTTGGATTACTCGGCCACCCAGCACTTGGTTCAGCCAACCCAGCCTGCACTGTCCTGTAAGCAATATTTCATCTATCAGGCTCAGATACAAGAAATATGCTGGGCACGCACGGAGCAAACAAGCATATTCTTGCAAGTAATTAGCATAAACTGCACTGAGGTCAAGCGGTTGTGTCGGAGCACAATGCAAATCAACATTTCCTCCTCCTGCAGATGGAAAATGGAGAATTGCAAATGCCATATCTCCGGCTCACCCCTTGCTTCCCATCGTTTATTCCAGAGGAAGGAGATAATTGTTTTGAGGTGCTTTTGAGAACAGCATCTCTGCTGCTTTCGTTGCTTAATGGGAAAGAACATGTTTAAATGGTGGAAAGTCACGTTATTTCAGGACCTTTCAGGTCATTTTTCTTGCCCTTGTGGAGGGAAAGTGCCTAATTTGACCAAATCTGAAGCGGTAAACTGAGGCCTCACAAAGTGATAGAGGGCAGCTGGTTAAAGGCCACTGGTTATTTCTTCTGTTGTCTCTAAAATGGTTTGTTGAGGACAGTCTCCCAGTGACATCTGCTTGAAGGAGCCCTGCTGCAGGGCATCAGACCAAGGGCCACCAAGACTAATGTAATTTTTTCCAAGAGATGTCCAAAATGAATGCCTAGGGAATGAAGGAGCAGCACTATTACATATGGTACAGCTCCCAGAAACTTCCCTGCCACCAACCATTTGAGGGGTGTGACACATGAGAGCCAGAAGTCATTTCACTCACTCTGCTAATGGGTTTTCTCTGGAATGGAGATTTCAGTAACTTTCTTTTCCATGAACTTGCCCAGTCCCCTTTTGAACCTGTAACAGCCGTTCCCTCCTGTGGGGAGGAGAGAGACCAGCTTCCTTTCTTTCGTTTATTCTGTGTCTGGCTCCTGCTTGTTTTGCTTGGTGGCCCCAAGTTCTTGTACGGGAAGAGACCATAAATGGAAAATTCCTCCCCACTCTCTCGCCTGTGCAGGCAGAACTTATGGTTCTACTTATCCTCCCCTTCTCTTCAGGCTCACAGGTGCAATGTCTTCAGAACAGATCAAAGAGTGAGGGTAGTGTTGTTTTAAACCACTGTTTTCCTCTAGACTGTGATCTATCCACTTGCAGATGGCTTTTATGGTCTCTAAAGCCTCCCATGGATTACCCTGTGCTTGACTGTATAAACATTTTTTCTATCCCACATCCTGCTTCCCCAGCATGGCTCGTACTCACTTCTCTGTCCTTTCACTCAGTCCAAACATCCTGCAGAAAGCCTCCAGCTTTCCTTGACAGCCTTCCTCACTCTCCCCACAGGTTGCAAATAAAACTCAACCAAGCCCAACGCAACCCCCCAGATTCCTGGAGATCTGCCTGCAGGGGAGAGACTCACGTGCCTTTCCCTTCTGATCGAACTACCAACACACGTCCTGCTGCGCTGCTGCTGCAGAAAGGTCGGTCTGTCTTCAGCCATCTCTCCCCTGCACGCCTCGAGTGCTCTGCTCTCTTCCCTCAGCTGTCATCTCCTCGCTGCTGAGGGAGGTGGGCGGGAGAACAGGCACCGCGGGAGATGGCTAATCCTCCGTAGCGCTTGTGCTCAGGGATGGAAGAACTCAGCTGCTCTGGCATCCTCCTCCAGCTCCTCTCCCTCCCGGTGTCAGGGGGAGAAAACCCCGCCGTGGCTGCCCCGGCACACGCGTGTGCACCGGCTCTGCGACCTGGGGAGTGCTGCTGGGGGCTGTGTGGGGCTGTGTGGTGGGAGCTGGACGTGCATCCCTTTATGTACCAAACCAGGGGTCCCACTTGCCCACACACTGCAGAGGGGAGGGAACTGCTCCCTGAGACAGCAGGTCTCAAGGTAACCCCCTCCCCCAGCAGCTGGACGAGGGCACGACTGAGGATGAAGTGGGCAGGCAAGGTGAGGCGGGGGAACCAGGACAGCGTGGGTGGTACTGCAACAAACCACAGCACCTGGTTTACCACGAAGTTGCATGTGAAGCGCTGCTGACTTGGAGCAGCTGGCAAAAAAACTGGAAGCAAACCCCCCTCCTCCCCAATCATTATTTAAACAGTATAAAGGTCTCTGTAAATGTTTAAAACAACGTGGTTGGGAGGGGAAGGAGGAAAGACAAACAAGTTTGCTGTTTCAGCTTTGCAGAAACAGATCTTATTTTTTTGGCAGGGTTTTATTCATCCAGAGGATCTAGCTGCTAGCATGCTTTGGGAGGCTCCAGATTCATAATCACTTCCCAAACATCTTCCTCCAAGAGGCTGCACTTTGGCACAGGCACCACCCTTAGTGTCTGTGTTTGGGTAGTGCCCTGTGCTGTAGCATCCCAGTTCATGGCCAGGGCACCTATGCCAGGAGTCAGTGGCTCTGAGTGCTCACTCCCAGTGATGTTTTTCTTTCCCAGACCTAAGTCAGTCTCATGATGGTCAAAGCTCAGCAGGAGCCAGGGAGCTCAAAGGAGCAGGATTCTGCGGGCTGGCTGACTGCTGGGGTACCTTTCCTACACATGAGCAAGGCAGGAATCAGGAGCCCCTCTCTTCCCTGAGCACCTCTCCCAGTTCTCAGCTTGCTGCCTTTCCTTCCTCATCTGCGTCAGTACAACTGCCAGCACCTGCTGCATTACCACAGCAGAAACCCTATGTAATTCCTGTTCAAATACACAGCTGGCAGCATGACTTCAACTAATTCAGCTTTTTGCTGTTGAAGAGCTGGAGCTGTATCCTGGTTTGGCTCCAGGCTGAGAGGGAATTGATCTGAAGCCCTGGGCATTGCAGGCTGCTGGAGATCGGTGGCTGCTCTCCAGCCTCCATCCAGATCTGTGTCCCAGATCCCAAACCCTGGAGCATCAGTCCTGGAGGAGAACCAGCAATTATTTGGGCTCTCATGGGTGAGGGGGGGCATCCTGCTCAGTATGAGAGAGACTTTGGGCTGGGAAAATGAGGGATCATCCACGAGGAACACATTAGAACCAGGTCCCTGGGGATCAGAGGATTGTACTCCCCACCAACTTACCAGGGGTCTCACCTGGTCCCCAATTCCCAGTCAGGGCTAATTTCTGCCCAGTCCCTCCTGCTCTGCTCCTGCCCAGCCAGGGAAGGGTTAGCTCTTGAGCCGGGCTGCTCCTGTTGCCTAGGGCTCTGTGTAGTTTGGGGGAGGAGGAGGGGGAAAACTCTGATACTATTTTCAACCAAAGCCTGAAGAGTGATGTGAGGGACCAGCTGCTTGTGTGCTGTCCTGCCTCTCTGGAGTCCTGTTCTACTCAAATCAATAACTGCCCACAGACAGCACCAGCAAAAGCTGTTGCTGGGGTCTCCTCTGCTTTTCTAACTTCAGCCAGATCCTATGCAGAACCTACACTGAGATAAAAGAGACTGACACAGTGTGAAACCTTCCTCCTCTTCAGCAGATGGTGTTTGTGACAATGGACTTTGCTTGTGTGGTTATAGCAGAACGGCCTGGGCTGGCCGAGAAACAGAAAGAGAAGCTGCAGGCTGGGCTTGCTGGGACCGGCTTGCTGTGTAAACCCGGCCTGAAAGGCTGCATCACAAAGGAGCTCTTGTTTTTTCAAGGATCAGGCTTTTCTGCCATCTCCAACTTAGAAGCTAAAGCACTGGCATGACTTGCCTGCAGTCAGTTGCTCCAGCCCCTCTGCAGCATTCCCGGCACTCTCCCGGGACCTGTGGTGAGCGAGGAGGTGATGCGTGTCACAATGTGAACTTCATGTTACCTTCACAGAAAGCCTAAATGCATCTTAACTGGGCTTAACCTGGTGTCGCTGCCTTAGGCTTTAGCACGTTGGTGCTGCATCTGTCCTAGCTGTGAACTCTGCATGCTTCATGCCTGAAAACCCTCACGGTCGGAGGAACAGTGCCCTGACTTGAGTGAACCACTGAGATGGTGTGAGTTATGGCTGGTACTGCTGCTGACTGAGCCTGTTCCTGCATATCCTGCTAAAGTGATCATGGGGAAGGTGAAGCTGAACCTCCATCAGGCCCACTGCTGTGAGACTGAGACTGCTGAGCACGAACTGCAGTGCATGCTTTCAAGATAAACCTCAATCTCAATCAGGGTGAACAAGAAAAAGCATATTGCCTTGGTATTGTCTGGAGGCTGCCTTCTGCACCATGACTGAGGATGGAATCTGGTTACCATCAAGAACCAGGTGTCAGCTGGCATAAGCCCTCCAAGAAACTGGGTTACCAATATTTCTGACCTGATTCTATCTATCACATTCAAGACATGAGCGAATACAGAGTAAGTGTTGCTCCTTCAGCAGGAAAGGCCAAGAAGCCATGTGCTCTGATGCTGTTTGCATGTCTCAGCTAGTCCCAAGCCTCCGGAAACTCTTTTCCCAATTCCAATTTGGCTGTTTGAGCATCTCCCTGTTCCCGAGCAGCCTGCCATGCAAACCCTACCAAACCACAGCAATCTGTGAAGAAGCTGATGAATGTGGCAGGGAGACTATTGCAGGCTCAGTCCCACATTTGGTTAATACCCGGTGGAGATGTTTACCTTCACGAGGAGAGGGGCTACGTGCATCTGTCAGCTCTGCTATTCAAGCATGCAGCAATCCCATGGACACACACACCACCTGAAATCCGAGAGCCAGCTCAGCCCTGTGTACATATTTCCTCGCCAGCCTGACTCTGATAGCACCAGGCTTTCTCACAGTGCTTGGAAACAAACCTCACTTAGCCCTGACAAGCCTCAGAAGCTCTTTCACAGCAAGCCATGTGTGAACTTAATGTGTTCCATACCAGCACCATCTACCTACCTCTACCCTCCTCAGTTACAACAGGCACAACAGGCCTGGGCAGGTAGGAGGACACTGGGCACAGCTGGACTTGGATGCTGGAGGGTTCAGCCAGAGTCCACTCTTCCCCAGAGCATTGCCTTCAGCTAAAGATCAGATCTCTCTTTACCTCTTCTTTCACTCAAAGCTCTCAAATCGGTGCCGTATGGATGCAATCATGATGTTCATTAGTCTCTGTCTGAGCCCTCTCATGTTGCAAAATCCCTGGAGGGGACAGGCTGGAGTGGGATGGGGTTTGCTGCAGCTGAGCTCTGGTGGTTTTCCCCCCGGGGATCAAGAAGTTTTGTTCCACCCATGAGAAGTGCCAGGCATCAGGGGAAGATTTATTTTTTGGCAGCTGTTTCCGTTTTGCTCTAGAAAACTGATGCTGTGCTAGGAATGCACTCTGACTAAAACTCCTCTGGGCTGCTCAGGTCAAATAGCAAATTGCAGCAATAGGGGAAATGAGGGACAGGAGAACACTTCTGATCTGTAGAGAGCAAACAGAAGGGCCAAGCCCTTTCATTTCCCTTTCATCCTTCCCTGAGCCAAAAGCAGGAGGTGAGCAGTTTGAGGGAGAGGTGGAAGCTGGGGGTTGGCAGGCTGCTTCCTCCCACCTCTGGCAGCCACAGAGCACAGACATGCACACTTGGCTCTGCCTGTGCCTGCTCTGGGGAGCTCTGACACTGTCAGTCTAGTTGCTTTTGAGGTGGTGTCTGATCCCTTTGGAGAACAGACCGCTCTCTTTCCGCTTGTTTTGCACAAGGCTCAGGAAAGCTTTCGGGATCAGAGGATTAAACAAGGGGTGTGACGAGGCAGTGACAGTTTGGGAAAAACACAAGCAGCAAAAGGTTTTGATACTGTCAGAGAACATGACAGGCAGGTTCACAGCCCCTGCAGGCCTTGGCTTCCTGTTTTCTTGTACCAAATGGGGAAAACAGTCCTGTGCGGTGACAGAGTCGCAGGTGGTGACCTTGTGGCAGGCAGGGCAGAGCTGAGAGCAAAGTAGAAAGCCCAGGCAGGGGCTGGGAGGGGGGGAGATGCTCTGCAGGGACTAGGGAAGCTGGGCACATCTTTCTTTGGGAGGATGCTGTGAAGCATCTGGAAACTCATCTCCGATGTGCTCAGCTCTGTCCGCTGCACCCTGGACGCTGAAGTTGCTCTCAGGGCATCTCTTCCTCCTGCTCAAGGATTGCCAGGGCCAAAAGGAACTTCTGGGGCTGGAGGGTGGGGTTGAGAGATGCAGGAACCCAAAACTTGTCTCCTTGCCCTCCAATGGCTGAAGGTGCCAGGATTGAGGATGGGGCCATCCCTGCCCAGCGGGGTTCCCCCTGGGCGAGCACAGAGTGGGCACAGCCCCAATGCTCCAGCCCCTCGATGCTGCTGCAAAATGGGTCACCCCATCAAAACAGACCTTGCCTTGTTCCCATACTAAAAGAAGGGGCTGTGTGATAAAAAGCTGCAGCTGGTCTATCTAATCTCCCACCAGTGTCTGCATTAACTGTCAAGACAGTGATTTCCTTGATGCTGAGCAATTTTTTTCTGTGCACGCATCCAGCTAATCAATTAAGTTTCTCAGCAGCTTCCTCCAGCATTCAGGCTTGGAGGGTGGAAGGAATTTGTTATTCTAGGCACTGTTGGAGAGGCATGAACTGTACTAAAAGCAAATTGGTTGCGCTTTCCAAGCATTGACACTCTTCACTCACAGCTTGTCTTGCTGATTCTCCTCCCCCTCCCTCCTCCCTGCTCTCCTGAGCACCTCTGGGCGCAGCCCTGATCAGACCAGCTCACACAGAGCTGGCCTGAGGCACATCTGCTCAGCACCACACTGTGCCCAGCTGTGCTGGGTGTTTGGGACACTCTGTGTCCCCTGTGTCCCATGCAGAGGCATGGATGTTTTCCTTGGGACAGGGTCTTCCTACAGCAGGTCAGTTTGGCTGTGCAAGGGCCGAATGCTGCTGGATTATCTCACCTGCTTTCCCAGCTGCAGCTGGTACAAGCTGGCAAGGCTGGGTGCCACACCACTGTCATGGGGATGTGCCTCTGCTGAAAAA